GCTCCAGACTCAGCCCTGGAGCCAGAAGCAGCGTCAACCTCTGCCTGCCTGCCTGGCTCCACTGGGCGCTGCGGCCTGTCCTCTCACACCATTTCGTTGGCCGTCCTTTCGCAGGTATTGCACGGAGGACAGCCCCAGCTTCCCGCGGCCCTCCCTCCTGGAGAGCCACATCAGCCTTATGCACGGCATCAGAAACCCTGATTTGAGCCAGACGTCCAAAGTCAGACCTCCGGGTGGACATTCCCCTCAGGTGCGTGTGGGGCCCTTGCCCACCAGAGCAGCTTGCTCAGTGAGGGCTGGCGCTGGAGGGGCAGTGGGAAGGCCACAGGGCGCCCATTGGTCCTTGTGGCCAGATCACAACAGCCCTGACAACTTCCCTCAAGGTGGGTCACTCTCGAGCCTGTGTGACCCACACCTGGGCCTGCACACGAGTAAAGGACAGGGACAGGGACCCGCGAGGCAGCCCATTGGCCTCTTTTTTTTTTTTTTTTTTAAATATATTTTATTGATTTTTTTACAGAGAGGAAGGGAGAGGGATAGAGAGATAGAAACATCGATGAGAGAGAAACATCGATCAGCTGCCTCCTACACACCTCCCACTGGGGATGTGCCCGCAACCCAGGTACATGCCCTTGACCGGAATCGAACCTGGGACCCTTCAGTCCGCAGGCCGACGCTCTATCCACTGAGCCAAACCGGTTAGGGCCCATTGGGCTCTTGGTCCTGCCGTTTCCCTGTCGCCGGGAGCCCTTCCTTCAGGGTGGGCTGCGCTCAGTGACGGGGGAGCTTTCACACACACCAGCCTGCTTCTGCCTCACTCAGTTCTAGGAGTGGGCGGGGGGCTGATTGTCGGGTGACGATGGCCAAGCTTGGCTGACCCCCACCCCCACTCCCACACCGGTTGTGGGAAGAGCCATACTCCAACACCTGCTCTCCTGTATCCTTGTTCTATGTTTTTTTGTTTGTGTAGTTATTTATTTTTAAATATATTTTTTATTGATTTCAGAGAGGAAGGGAGAAGGAGAGAGAGATAGAAACATCAATGATGAGAGAGAATCATTGATTGGCTGCCCCCTGCACGCCCCCTATTGGGGAAAGAGCCCACCACCCAAGCATGTACCCTTGACCGGAATCAAACCTGGGACCCTTCAACCCACAGGCTGACGTCCACTGAGCCAAATTAGTTAGGGCTGGGTCCTTATCCTGTGACCTCATCCCTGTTCCAGGCCCGTTTCTGGTGAACTTCGGGGGCAGTCTGGCCTCCCTCTTCACTGTAGCCTCCTCCCACGCTGCGCCTCAGAGGGGCCCGGCACACCTGGGGAGCCGAGAGCTCCCGGAGGCCCAGGACCGCCCATCTGGGCTGTTCAGAGAAGGGCTCTCGCTGATCGGCAAAGGCCCTTGCCCACATAGCAGGTGGGGTGTCAGTTGGCATTTTGGCAACATCTGCCTGCGATTAAAATGCACCCCCTCCCCTGCCCTCCAAAAGCACACACCCTTCGATGCAGCAAGTTGGCTTCTTGGATTTATCTGTCCGGTGTCTTTGGCCTTGGGCACCAAGAAGTGTGTTCAAGGATGTTCACTGCAGCACCGTCTGCGTGACAGATGGAACGCGACTAAATGCCCGCCAGTGGGGACTGTCCATCCCCACAGGGGGCCCGCATGCTGCTGTCAGGAGAGCGTGGCCTCTGTCTCAGCCTCATGGAGACCAGCGCCAGTCATGTTGTGCCGTGAAAAGAACAGGGCGGAGGAGCGTGTGCATGCAGCGCTATCACCGTGTGAAAGAGCAGCTTTGTTTTGTATACGTGTAGAATATCTCCTGGAGCAGCCCCAGAGCCGGGCGATACCGCGATCTCTGGAGAGCAGGCCTGGGGCGTGGTCCGGAGGGATGTAATCTCCTTGCCCTTCCTGTATCTCTGGAATGTTGTGCCACAGCAGACGTCACATTTTAAAAAGCAAATAAAAAACCCCCAGACAGACCCAAGTCAAACAAGTGTTCAGGGCCGGGGTGACCCTGGCCTGGGTGGAGATTCTGGGAGGCCTTGGGCTGCACTGGTGGGGCCTCCTGTGCCGGGCTCAGCTCAGCCTGGACTTGGCTGACGCTGTGTCCCTTTCAGGTGAACCATCTGAAGAGACGGGTCAGCGGGGCGGAGGATGCTCCCGGCACCAACAACGGCGAGGCCGCCTCCTCTGTCAAGAGGCCCAAGTCCCTTTTCCAGTGCGCGAAATGCAGCTTTGCCACAGACTCGGGGATCGAGTTTCAGAGCCACATACCTCAGCACCAGGTGGACAGCTCCACGGCCCAGTGCCCCTTCTGTGGCTTGTGCTACACCTCCACCGGCTCCCTCAGCCGCCACCTCTTCATCGTCCACAAGGTGAGAGACCAGGAGGACGAGGAGGAGGCGGCCGAGGCGGCAGAGGAGGCAGCGGAGCCAGAAGAAGGCTCTGGGGAGGAGGTATCCATGGAGACCAGGGAAAACGGACTGGAAGAATGTCCTGGCGAGCCTTTGTCAGCTGACCCAGAGGCCAGGAGGTCCCCGGGCCCGGCCCCTGAGGAGGACATTGTCCGAGACGCTCAGAGTCAACCACTGGCCTCTCAGGACCAGGACAGCCACGCACCGTCCCCTCAGGTGTGACCGGAGGTCGGGTGGTGCTGCGGGTGCTGCACCTGCCGTGTGGACAGTGGAAAACAGAAGGCTCTGCCTGGTGTGCGTGGCAGGCTGTGCCCTGGAGCAGTGTCTGCCCTGAGCTGCGGGGAGCCGGGTGTGCCCCGGCCCCAGGAGATGTGGGGTCGCCCGGGACCCTCACAGATCTGGATTCTGTTATTTATGGCTTTGTGCTGCTTCTCAGTACCCCAACTCTTGTCTGTATCCTTCCAGCCCCAGTGCTGTCCACTCCGCTTGAAACCCCTCAGCGGCTGTGCTCTTCCGGGAGGCTCCCCACCTGCTGCCTTCGGCCAGGGGACTCCTCCGAGCTCTCTGGGCGGACAGAGCCTGAGAAGGGGGCTTGAGGGGGGCTGGCGCAGTTCCTGCTGGAGAGCTCTGCCCAGCCCGGCCTGACGAGGGCCTCGGCCACCTTGCCCGTCCTTCCTGCCTTCTCTGTTCTTTCCCCCAGAGTAGTCCCGGAGAATTGGCCGTCCCTCCGGCTCTCTGCGTGAGCGGGAGGAACTTCTGCAGCACCCCTGGTTGGGGCCCGGGGAGCAGCAGTGCGGCCCAGGCAGGCAGGCAGGCAGGCAGGCGCCGAGGGCAGACCCTTCAGAAGGAGTGTGCGCCTCGTCCGCGGCCGCCCTGCCTCTCCTGATCAGGGGGCTTGGGGCCCACAGACGTTGGGATATTTGTATTCTTGCTCCTGTGCCATTAGAGAGGCTGCTGCCCCAGGCAGGCCAGCCCCTCCTCCTCCTGGCTACACTCATGTTGCTCAGACTATATTTCAAATAAAAATATTCTTCTTACCATGCAGGTGGGCTCTTATATTCCTCTTCAGGTGAGTCTGGCCCCACCCTGCTCCCCCCCGAGGGTCTTCCCAGACGCCCCCCATGTCCCATTGCTGCAGGAGAGCCGTGCCCCTCCTGTCCACGGCGTCCTCTAGACTCTGGAGCTGTGGTTAGGACACTGGGAGCCTGGGACTTCCTGACCCTCTAGAGCAGCGGTTCTCAACCTGTGGGTCGCGACCCCTTTGGCGGTCGAACGACCCTTTCACAGGGGTCGCCTAAGACCATCCTGCATCTCAGATATTTACGTGACGATTCATCACAGTAGCAACATGACAGTTATGAAGTAGCCACGAAAATAATGTTATGGTTGGGTCACAACATGAGGAACTGTACTTAAAGGGCCAGATGGTTGAGAACCACTGGTCTAGAGACCTTCTGCAGGGGTGAGGGAGGGTCTTAATGTCGGTCTCCCCTGGGCTAGTGGCATTGGCTCTAGGGCCAATTGAAATTTTCTGGGCACCTCCATCTCTCCTCCAAATGGATTTTCAACCCAAGAGAACCCTTTGCTGGAGGGAGGAATTCTGTCATGTCCTTGCAGCGTCCAAGGGGCCTGGGATTGCCACAGCCACAGGGAACTTGGCTATGACAGACTTGGAATTCGGTATTCGAGGCTGGGCTGCCTTTTCACTCACTGATGGCAGAGTTAGGTCCCGACCCAGCACAAGGAACAGGCGGTGTGGGGGGTGTCCTCTGACCTCTGACCCTCTGACCCTCTGACCCTCTGACGCCCGACAGGATCTAGCCCAGCAAAGGGAAGTGAGTGCTGGCTGAGTTCTTAGGATCTTTCAAGGGAGGTATTGAATATCAAGTATACATTACTAAGTTAGATAAACATGCTCGACCTTTTCACAGTTGAAAACAGAAATCATTTTCTTCCGCTGTGAAATGCCACATCTTCAGTGGAAATGCTGATGGCGCTGGGAAAGGTTGGTGCTGGCCTCAGTTTCAGAGAGACCGCAGTTTAGTGATCGCTATAAGCAGCTCTCGACGAAGCCCCTCGCTGCACCGGCCCCCACCCCTTCAAAACAGAGGGAGTCGTTCCCATCCAACTCGCTTCTCCGGCTTCTGTGAGATGATGAGTGTGAAGGCATTTTTGTGAAACACTATATAAAAGTGAGGGATTCCTTTAAAAAATATATTTGTATTGATTTCCAAGAGGGATAGAAATAGAAACATCAATGATGAGCATCATTGATTGCTTCCTGCACGCCCTACACCGGGGACCGAGCCCACAATCCGGGCATGTGCCCTGACCGGGATTCGAACCATGATTCATAGGTCGACGCTCAACCACTGAGCCACACCAGCCGGGCAAAAGTGAGGGATTCTTACTGTGACTTCAGAGCACCTCGCCTGCCATTCACACTTGGATGCCAATGGCCAGTTATGACCAATCTGGGACACCTCTCCCTTATTTAGTAATCCTGATGACAAGAGCACTCACTTTCAGCCCTGCTCCCATGCCCAGCATGTTGCTAAATACTTTCTAGTGAGCCTCCTAGCCCTCACGATGATGGATCTCGCAGTTATGCTTCATTTCACAGAGGAGAAACCGGGCGCAGAGAGGTTCAACAAGTTGCCGGGCCACCTGTACGCGAGGCTGCTGAGTCAGGCTTGTCTGGTTTCTTGAGTCCCTGGTGTCAGCCACTGTGCTGTCTTCGTGACCTGCTGCTTTGGCCGTAGGCCAGCTTGTCGGGTTTGCAGACATCCACATTCCTCCCTCCCCTGCGGGTGGAGTGCCAGGTTCTCTTTGGAGTCCGTCTGCGCCTCGTCACCCCAAGGAGGGCCCTGCACATCACATTTGCTTGTGACAAGAGGACGGGCAGTGTCACTATAACCTTGGATTCCCATCGGGATGAGGGGAGGGGGGCGTCCGTCCCAGAGGCGGCTGCCTAGCCCTGGCAGGGAGCCTGGTTCCCTCAGGGTCCAATACCTTTTGATCTTTTCTTCTTCAAGGTGTTTTTAATGGCCGTGCTATCATTTTTATCAGAAAAGGCTTGCCCTAAGCAGCACTTATCTGCACATTAGCTGGAGTGCTCTCCTGATGAAGTTAAACAGATAAAATCCCCGCCCTCATAGAAACGACAATTTAACACATGCCGAGGCTTGACAAATGACTAGTATTTATTTTCCAACTGCTTTATCTCTGTAAAACGATACGCGGAGTGACTATAAAGCTCGTTGAGTGTGTAGAGAGAACTGTTCCCTTAACTTATGTAAACAGTCTGGGTTTTGAAAACTTAACACGTGTGGCTCAGCAAGTCCAACACACTTGGCCTTCCCGAAGCCTGGGGACCCTCCCCCACCCCCGCCTGCCCTCTCACCGCTGCGTATTCCGCACTGAGCACACCTTATTTTACTCGTTTTAAAGAATGTTTGTGTGTTTTGAAAAATTAATACATATACATGGTAAGACATTCAAACAATACAAAAGAGTATACAATGGGAAAAAAGTAAGCTTCTTAATGGAGGCCAGCTTCCAGTTCCCTATTCCCTCTCCGGAGTTAATTGCTGTTACCTATATCTTGTGTATCCTTTCTGAGCAATTCTATGAATTTGCAACTTTATAAATATGTATATTTATATATCTATTTTTAATACAGATGATAGCGTTCGACACGAAGTGTTCTGAAGCTTGCTTTTTTCAGTTATATAATGGAGATTGTTCCACATTCATCCTGTGGGTCAGTCTAATATTTTAAAAGTCCCTAGCACAGTTCCTTGCATTCAGTAGTGGTTCAAAGAGTGTTTGAGTAAGTGAATGAATGAATGAACGAATGAAAAAATCAGATTTTCTCAGGGTCTGATCTGAGCAAGACAGGATCTTCTAGATTCTAGAACATGCCCTCTCCAGCCTCCCCCCCTCCCGAGCCCCCCCGCCCCTGTCTTCTCTAAGTGAATCAGGTCATGTTGACCTTTTCTATCATCTGACAGCAGCCTTAGGAACTGGGGGGCACAGGCCCCAGGTCCCAAGTATGGGATTTCTTTGAGGTCCTTATTTAAAATTGCTTTTTTCCTTTGGGAAATGATATAGAATTACTAGAAGAAGTAAAAAACAACCATGCACATTTATAATCCCATCTCACCTTTGCAGTTGTTTTTATTTTGTATATCACCTTTCAATCCTTGTTCAGTTAATAGCTAAATTTAAGGTATAATTATGCTAATGTCAGTGGTTAACAGAACATTTCTACATGACAAACATTCTTCTTACATTCATCCTCTTATTCAGCCTCATGAGAATCCTCTGAGACAAATGCTGCTCTTATTCTTCTGGGGGTTCAGAGTGGTTGAGTGATTTCCCTAAAGCCACAGAGCGAGGAAAGGGGCAGAGCTGGGATTCACTCAGCTGTGAATGAATTCCATTTACTGCACTGCCCTGGATTTGGTACCCTGCTTTTTTACACTTAACATTACGTCTGGACATTTCCATGTTTCTCCATAGTCTTTTATTTTTTTAAAAGTATATTTTATTGATTTTTAAAAAAAATATATTTTATTGATTTTTTACAGAGAGGAAGGAAGAGGGATAGAGTTAGAAACATCGATAAAAGAGAAACATCGATCAGCTGCCTCCTGCACGCCCCCTACTGGGGATGTGCCCACAACCAAGGTATATGCCCTTGACCGGAATCAAACCTGGGACCCTTCAGTACGCAGGCCAATGCTCTATCCACTGAGCCAAACCAGTTAGGGCTCTCCATAGTCTTTTAATCACCATATTCAATAGTTGTAATAATTTTCAGATCAACATTATTTACCCACTTCCAGTCCCACTTCATCATGGCAGGAAATGGAGCTGAGTATATAACTTTCTGCAGAAGTATTTCCTCGGTATTTATCCCTATTTCTCTTTTTTAAAATTAACTTTTAAAGTACATTTTTATTGATTTCAGAGAGGAAGGGAGAGGGAGAGAGAAACATCAATGATGAGAATCATTGATTGGCTGCCTCCTGCATGCCTCCCACTGGGGATCAAACCCACAACCCAGGCATGTTCCCTTGACCGGACTCGAACTCAGGGACCCTTCAGTCTGCAGGCTAACGCTCTATCCACTGAGCCAAACCACCTAGGGCATTATTTTTATTATCCTTTTTTTTTGGG